TAGCCCCTTCCCCCCCCCTTACGGAGCTTACTTCCTTTACCACGAATTCTCTTCTCACTTGAAAGCACAGTCCACACAAGCTTAAGGAAACTCGATCACTGTGTTTTCTTCATTGCATCGCCATTCTGCTTTACCGTCTTAGAACTATAGTTCACTGTCCCCGCCTATACGATAAGTGTGTACTATTCCTTTAACTGCCCCACGTCGGAGACAAAGTTTTTTGAGTGGGGGAGGGGGCACGACTATATTAGGACAGATAATCTTAGGTGAGATACTCCGAATGAATCAAAGAAACGGCAAAAATTTGGCACGTACCTTAACATCTCCAAATGTCTTCGGAATATCGACTGTTTTTAACCCAAATCCGAAATGATACAGGTAATCATCTTCGACATTTTCGAGATATTTGTTCCTGAGGCCAAACGCCGGATAAGCAAACATCTTTTTTTCTGCAATCGAGATTTATGAAAAATCGTTATGTCAGTGGAATTGTGGCGCGTGATGAGGAAAACGTTTGGCATCAAATTGAACGCGAACTTACTCCTTCTTCATGCTTATTAGCAACACTACTATATCTACTACTCTTCACTTGCTCTACCAACAAAGACTTAAAGGCAATTTCTGTGTGACATCATGTGCGCCTTGTGTGTAATGTGATGAGTGCATCGTGCCGTACATACCGCTATGTTACGGCAGGAGTGGTACAGACGGAAGAACCAAATCGATCATTGGGCAAAAGGTTTTTCGATGCATCCCTTGCTACCTTATTGATAAGGTTGCGATAATACTAAAAATATCGCAGGTGATCGTGATGTCTCGATCGCAGATCAGGTGTAGTGGATCAACTTCACGATCGCGCGGGAGCGTGCCGAAACGGGGTATGAGTAGCAGAAGCAGTTCAACAGCTCATCCCGTGCTTCTCCCATCCTGAATTTTATTGATTTTTCATTTTGCGACGACGAGTATTGCGATATTGCGATGCGAAACATTTCTGCATATTCACATAACATGTTCTCTAACTTTTCGACGCTAATGCTATGCAAAATCTCCTTCATATGATCTCATAGGTAGTCACATTCGTCTCTTTTGTGCTTTACAATTTTAACATTGTTCAATTACTATCCTTTGGTTGCACTGAAGCTCTCTGTTGTGACTGACGCAGCATAAAGAATTAACGGATTGTCACTGTACTGCCGCGCTCTTGTCTATTCTAAAGGTTCCACGTGTTTGCCTGCACATCTGTGTCTCGAAGTGCCGGCAAACTTCTATGACATCGGTTGTGGCGTATGGGCACAATGGGCGGCTGGTTCAGACGCAGGCATGGACGCTCATCGCAACAGCCTTCCTACCTCTCTTTAATAGCCTAATCCAGAGTTGTACTTTTTATATCGAAGCTGGACTTGTTATACGCGGTTTCGAGTCTCCTTTTTTCTACGTTTCACACGCTACTCTTTGAACGATGGAATACCATATTAAAAATGTCCAAGTCTTCCTGAGCCTCCTCAACTTGCTACGACTCTTTCATTATTCTTCCTACCGTGATTTACTCGGTTTTCCTAGTTTCAGTTACGCATGGTTGTTCTTTGTTGTATTTTATTGGAATCCCTTCTTTTGTTTTTTGTCTTTGTTTTTCCCATTATCTTCTTTCTATCAAGTCTTGACTTATTGAACTGCTTGTACTATTCATCCGCACAGTACCTAATATTTCTTCCGGTGCGTCATAGTATGCATAAATAAACAAATAAATAAATAAATAATATTCTGTTAAGCTCTAATACCCAAGTTGATGCGCCCCTTGTACCGAACAGACAGCCACACGTAAACCACAACATCACGAATCTCTTTGAAAAAGTTGTAGGAAGTTCTAAATACATTAGCCCACTGTTTCTAAAAAAGTGTGCGCCGACTTCAAAGAACGCACTGACATGATCAAGTGTTAGCTCAAGTAATTTATTTTTTGGCCCTAAAATTTACCCCTACCAACTGGTTTGACTTCCTTACCGTCGTTTGGTTTTTCTACCCACATATGAAGGCTACAAAGTGTGAGAGGGGACTATGTAGTTAGCGAGAGACCACACTCTAGCGGGCTAACACATGCCAGCTCTGCACCCTGCCACCGAGACTTGACAAATTCTAACAGTACTTAGTCCAATGTCCTAGACAGCATTGGCTGCTTTTGATTATCTGCATCAAACCTCTGGAGCGCTATTCCGGTGCAGAACACAGTATCTAGTAAGCATCCTAGTGAGAATTACGACGAAGAGACATGCACTGACATCTGGCGCTTTCTGTCCCTTCTCTGTTATTTCAGGCCGAACTAATGTCTGAACCCAACAAAGGATCCCAGCCTTGGACATAACGTTGCTGGACTTTCCCGTCACCGCTTGGAATACCACTCCTTGTTGCACGACATCCGAATCCACGACATAGCAATCACTGGTGTCCAACGGTATCGTTGATTCGAATCTCATTAAAGGAAGGTAAGCAAGGCGGAAAGAAAAGAAGAGAAGACACTCGACAATCGGTGTTCAAGCTATCAACAAGAGTTTTGTGGAGGACCGCACGTCTTTGAACTAGAAGTGGTGTTACTAGAGATAATCTCACGTCATCCTTTTAATTACGGTCTCAGTGAGAAATATGGAGTCGGTCCTGCACGCACGGAAGAAAATTCGGTATTATCGTGTTAGAAATATCATAAACCTATTAAGTGCGGCGACAAATAGCGCTGAAAGTGAAAGCATCGAAACATCCGTAGCTCTAACATGAGTTTTAGCAGGTGCCCAGAACCGCCCCTCAGATAAACTCACTACCCGAGAACTGAAAAAATGAAAAAAATCGAACCTAAAGAGAAATGCCTTTACCCAGATTGCCGTATCATATTCTTACAGAAGGTTGTAGATCGTTAAAAAAAAGTCCTGTCTGGCCCTACATAAGCGCCGGTTTCCGTCCAAAACGGTAATCTCGCTGTCAGCAAGCCTACCTGCCGGAAAGATGGAAGACTACCACGAAAATTAGAAAGTTTTTACGTTCCAAAACTGCGATACAGTACCTCTAGCCTTTGTTTCATCATCCTGACCATTTAGCCAGCGAAGTAACCAACATGGTACACCACATGCATTGTCGTCTTAAAAGTACTGTAGAACGTTTAGAAATGATAAACAGGGCTATCTCGAGCATTGTTCCAGGCGTTAGGAACCCCCAGGTGGACTCTGGTCTACAATTATCCCTGTGGTTCCTTAACCAGGAAGGTCATTCAGGACGCAAGTCGTTTTTCTTCAAACTTCTTCTAAGACATTCTATTCCTTGCCCTGCAAGTGCCGTACACAAAACTGAAATCAGATGAAGAGACAGAGTTTCCTGAATTCCCTTCATCCCCTTCTGGAATGCGCCATGCACGGTACATGCATGCGGGTCCTAGAAGAATTTAAAGAGCGATTTGACCTGAACAATGACTTCCGCCGTTACCTGAAGTACAAATGGAGGTTTCTATCCTCTCATGCATGTTTGAGGATAACCTGCGCAGCGATGAGAGGATAAGTCTTCTCTCATCGCTGAGCAGTCGAGAAGTCTTGTTTGGCCGGTACGAGACCCGATTCAGGATTCGACCTAGATCGTGCACATGCCAAGAGGCCCCATATCTTCCTCTTGAATAGGACCCTCACCCCAGGGACCCTTCTTCAGAACAAATATGACCCCTCCAGAGCGCTCAGGAACGGCTACATCTTATGTGCTTTCCACAGCGGCTATGTGCTCTGCACTTTACATTGAAACCGTGAAAATTACACTTTGGCAGTTTCGGAAAAAATTTCAGCCTATTCATCAGCATCGCTAGAACCGCTTAGAAAAATTGTCCCTTATTTTCATGCCTACGCGTGCCCCTTTACCACGTAAGAACCTAGTTTTGAAGAAGCGCTGTACGTCCTGAACAACCTTCTCGGTAAAGGGAAAAACATGTGTCGAAACGAAAGGGAATCCCTTAGAAAACTGAGAGAAACCGAAAGGGACAAACCGGCCGCCATCCTAGGTTAGTAAAAAATGAACAGCTTAGAAATAACAGCAT